ATTTACGTTTTACCAAACGTTTCAATGGTCTATTGATGATGAGAGTTGATACCGTATGTGGAGGATACTGTAGACGTAAACATGGAACACACAGTACTATATACCGAGATACGAGAATATGTCACTAGCAAGAATATACATGTAGTGTCTTGTTCACTATCATCTTACTAAAGCATCTGATCCCTCAGTGGTTTGGTCTCTCGAGAATCCGACGCAGTGGTTCAAGACGACGAATAGTCAGCCTGTCAAAACGACCACTTTCCACTTTATCATGTAAACGTCAAATGCATTGATCATTTTAATATGAATGATGTAAATATAAATTATATAAATTCTAATTAAATGTTTGTTGTAATATATATATATTTTTATCATGTATATTTTGCTTTTTAGTTCAAAATTGAGAATGTAAAGTTAAGATTTTTTTATCTTTAGCCGTGATAAAAATAGTGTACAACTTTTGCATCATCAAAAGCTGCATCATTAAAATTCCAAGAAAAAAATTGTGTTTTATTAAAAAGTAACGCAAAAGGTATCTCATGAACGTATTTATTTCAAAATTTATTTATGAAAAATAAAAAACCACATTGCTCATACTTGCGTGATGTTTTTTCTATGACTTTACGATCAAATTATCATGGAAAAATGTAATTATCATTTTTTTGAAATTAAATGAATAAGTAATACTCTTTTATTTCATTAATTGTTGATGAATACATTATAAAGTACGTAACAAATATACATAAATTCGATTCAAATTGATATTAAATTGGACATAAAAATGTAAATGTCTGGAACAAAGCATTAACCAATCGATAAAATACATTATGTATTGTGTAAAATTGCAAAGTTTTTCAATCAAGAACTTTAGTTGTAAAGTTCAGAGTTTGTTTTGAGTGTCTCTCTAGTTTAACACATATTCAACGCAATATAAAGTGACACCTAAGCTGTCAAAACAAGGACATTATTCGTACAGATTTTAACTAAGAGCTGTTAAAAGTTTCCAAATATTCACAGAGTTAATCTTAAAATTATGATCATGTTATATCATTTAGGAAAATTAATTTCATTACTAAAATAAATATATTTGCCGATTAATAAATTCAAGTAATACTCTAATAACAACATAGAAAAAATGAATTTATTAGAAAGAAACCATCATGACATTACTTTTTCTGCATCAAGTAATATTTTAAGGAACTGACATTATTATTATTATAATTATATAAGAATTTAATAATAGTTTGAAAAAAACAAAAAAAACTACATTGAAACATTGAAATAGAAAAAAAGTAATCAGCAAAGCTATAAAACCGAGAATGTGAGAGAAAATTAACAGAGCGAAGAATGGTAAAATAAAGAATTTCCATTACAGAAAACGAAAACATATTTATTTTTAAATTTTCTTTTTTTATCACTAAATACAAACGTCCCGTGGAGAACAGAGTACTACTTCTCTTAACCTTTGTATATAAAAATTGAATTATTTATATAAAGAAAAAAATAACAAACATAGATTTCTATCTTTCCGCTTTGTCTTTATTTTTTTCTTTTATTTTCTTCCGTGTGCCAACAAGCTTTTCTGCTGCACTATGTCTCTCATTGCAGTGGTTCCATGGTAGAGAGATCTATACCCGCAACAGAGAGTAGATAGAGTGTTTCTGCCGCAGGTGGTCAGATCAAAGAACCTGCTTTATTTCCTTTCACGCTCACATTCGCCTACTTCAGTCCCCTTTTCTTACTAACTCCTTTTTTATTTTACCGTTCTTTCTATTGCTTTCTTACAGCTTATACTATACTCTTTTTGCAGGCATCTCCACCTACACTATTCGACACCTAAACATGCTCCATCAATGCCGCCTTCTATGACCATATCTCGGCTTCTCATAACAATCCAATCTTTGTAAAGATCTGTCGCTATTCCTGCCACGTCGTTAAGTGAAGTGAAAAAGAAAGTGCAGGCGTCGTATGTGTTATCGTCATGATCATAAAATCAATTTCTATATATAGTTATAAAAATATGCACAAAATCAAACACATATCCAAACTTTGAATCAAACCACCTACATACTTTCAGTTTATATTTGAATAAATTTCTGTGGCTTTTTATCAACCTTTTGATGAAATAAAAATATTTCAATTTTATTTTTTCACTGAATATTTTATTTATAATTATCAATGAAATAAGTTTATACGTGCTGTAATATTTTTAAAAAAATACATTTTCGTATATATTTTTTAGTATTGATATACTCTTTCTGACTTTTAAAAATCCAATTACAAATTCCAATAAAATCTCGGTACCAACTGGCAGAGTTTCGTTGGCTGTTTATAAAAATCATTACAATAATATTTTTTGTCTTTTAATATTTCAAGATAGACCACACGGCAATATATTTTATCTTGTGCATAAATAAGTTTCTTATTTATGCAATCCACTTTCATCTCCAATAACTTCATATTCAGAACTTGAACATTTACTATCGAAACGGAAAAGAAGAGTATATATGAAGAACGTGGAATATATGAACAAAATAGAAACTGCTCGTATACTGCATTTCTACAGTTAAGTAGTACATAACTAAAGTTAGTTTCATATTTCAATATCAACTTATCTATATTATTATTTTTATTTCGTCCTTTTAAATATGTCAAACTAAAATCACGCTTAGATGTGAAAAAATGAAATCATACATTGAATGAATGAATGAATTATTAGATGAAGTGGAAGCTGTATATAAATACCGTCAAAATAAGGAAAGTTTCAGAGAATCAGTACGTGAAGGTTTGGGTAAACTTGGGAAAGAATCGGCCTCGTTATAGCAGTAATTCCGAACCAATTCAGAGCAGTTATTAATCTGATGAGTAAAACTAATTGCGCAAGAGGCAACCTAGTTTCTCCTATCCCTTTTATTCTCTATAATTTCTCTCTAATTCTCTGGTATATTTATTAAGCTTCACAAATACCCTTTTATAGGAGAAATGTAAATGAAAATTAATTTTGATGTTGATCATGTGACAACATGAATTTTGTTAGTTTTATCGATAAATATGTCATAATCACATAACAAACATTTAAACTAAAGGATATTCTTTTGAAAATGTTTTTAGGATTCTAAACATGTATGAAGTGTACACAAAATTCAATTAATTAATTAAATACATAGAACATTAAATTTACTCTAGAATAATTAATTTGTTTAAAAAAAATTATCCGGAAAATTAAATACATAGACCTGTATATATGCTTTTGAAATTGTTTTTGATGGCATATAATCACCATATTTAGCTACTTGATCACGTTAACTTAACTAATACAGTTTTCGCTAATCGAGATTATGCAGATTATCGCTATAATATGATTACATCATTAATATAAGTTTCACATAATTCTGGAAAATTGTTGACATCAATGATTCGCTAATAAATAAATGCAATGAATTTATAAATAATCTTTGTAATAAATAAAATGATTTAGTATTATTGTTAGTGATAAATAAATATAATTGCATGCTTGATGTAATATTTAGAATATAGTTGACAGCCGGAAAAAATGTATTAAAAAAAAAATCGTTCAAAAATGAATCGTTTCAATGGCTTTTCGCATTCATGATTATCACAGGTTCACACATAAATAACACTCTGACCGCGTGTATAAATTTTGCCACGACTGTTCGCACAGCTTAGATAATAAATATAACTCGGTACCTGTGAGCAAGGCCACAATGTGCAGTTACATCGTATTTTGATGTAATACAAAATGCATAAAAATGTTTACCATGCATGAACACTAAAATTTTAAATACGCATTAAAATGTAAGTTACAGGTGATTTATATCACCTATTAAATTTCACAGGTACGTATTTTTAAATACTGTCAATCACTCTACAAATTTTACAAATATGAAAAAAATTGTTTGACATAGTAAATTCATGTGGAATTCATGCATCGTTTAATCATCAATTTTTTTATCACTTTCTGTATCAATATTGGAGAATAATCGGTCTCGTATTTTGACTATAATACATATGTACGCATGTATTTGACGTTTGAATCATTTTAAATTGATTGAATCTATTGTTTGATATTGTAGTAAAGCTAATTATTAATAACCACAGGCAATAAATTATTCTGTATAATTTATATTTGTTAGTAATATTGATCATGATACGACAGAATTTTCAGATGTTCAATATTACTTTCCTACTTTAATCATGTTGGATTTTTATTCTCATTTTATCTTCTATCTCGCTTTTTTGTTACCATCAATTGAAAGGTTTTAATGTTATCAAAACGATAAGTTTGTTCATCAGATATCAATAAATAAAAATATTACAAAACTTATCCAAGAATCGTGATACGTAAAATATTTGAAAAATGTATTGATTTAGACTATGCATGATAATACGTATTTAGTAATAGCCTGATAAATGTAAAGAAATATCATTCAACTGTGGGTATTGGAAGAATTTAAATCTATATCATAGGTTTTTGGTTTTATTGGAAACATGTTGAAATGCATGAATCGTTTATTAGTTTGTATTATCAGTGTGTTGATTTTATTGAAGTAAATAATTTACTAAAAAAAAAGTACCTGGTGAAAAATGTGATACGATACATATTTTTTTTTATAGTTGTAGAAATCTACATTTGGCTGAAGCAAAAACATTTAAAATTTATTGGAATGTTCCAACATTTATGTGCCATACACATGGAATGAAATTTAAGGAAGTTTCAGAAGTTTATAATATAACTCAAAATTCGAATGATACATTTAACGGAAATGAAATAGCAATACTTTACCATGCCGGTGATTTTCCTACATATATAAAGTTTGAAAATGGTAAGTAAAAATTAATTAAATTTTTTTGCATTACTCTTTTATGACCAGTGGATGAATACTAGTTGATTAATTAAATGTAGATACAGAAATCACGATAAATGGCAAAGTGCCACAGAGAGGTGATCTCCAAAAGCATTTAAATCAATTACAAATAGACTTGAATGGAAATGTGACAGATCCAAATTTTTCTGGGATTGGTATTCTTGATTATGAACGTTGGCGTCCAGTTTTTCGACAGAATTTTAACGATGTAAATCGTATTTATAAAGAATATTCAATTAACTTAGAGAAATCCTATTTCAAAATTCTAACTTACAAACAAGCTAGAATGTTGGCTGAAAAGGCTTATAATTACAGTGCTAGAATATTCTATGAAGAAACGATTAAACTTGTTAGAAAGCATCGACCTAAGGCAGCTTGGGCATTCTATGATTATCCAGTGTGCTACAATTTAACCCCTAGACAACCTAATCCTCAATGTGACGACCGTGTCAAAGCAGAGAATGACAGGTAATCAAATGAATGTTAACAACATTCTTAAACAATTAACTTAAACTTTATATTTTCACTGAGTGGTCTTCCTAAAAATTCATTATTTCAATTACACTTTTTATTGACTGAAAAAAGTTCTATCATTGCCAATAATTTATTCATTAAACAACTAAAAAAAACGTGCTCACAATTTGTTTTTGTCTGTAGAATGGCATGGCTGTGGGATCAATCAGGTGTTTTATTACCGTCAGTTTATGCTGTAAAAGCTTTTAGTAAGGAAAATTTAACGGAATACATTAATGGACGATTGGTGGAGACTTACAGAATAGCAAATAAATATTATCCACCAAAAAAAATATTTCCATTCCTTCGCTATCGGTACAGAGACAGCATGAAAGAATTTTTGACACAGGTTAGAACATGCTTTAATTCCCATTTAACTACATCACTAAAATAATATTTAATCAAACATTGGCCATACTTTATCTATTTAACAGGACGTGTATGTAACTGTATTCAGAGAATTATTACGTCAAAATGTGGACGGACTCATAATATGGGGTAGTTCAAATGATGTCAACACACGCCGAAAATGTATGAATTTATTGAACCATTTGCACCAAGTTCTTGGACCTTTGATAAAATCAATAGAACAATTTTACCCTCAAAATAAAAATTCTGATTGATTAAATTTAACGAAAATCTATTGGATTTTGAAATGGAATATTTGTCTAAACTTGGAACATTGCATAAACGCTTATTCCATCAGTTCTCAACAAACCTTTTCAAATAAGACAAGTTGGACTCGATATTTACATAATTAATCATTATCTTCAAACAGTTTACTTTGGATTGGTTTAAATTATGAAACTCTAATTAATTCTTAATTGATGAAAAATATTTCATCAGCATTAATTACCCAAGCGAAGATTTTATGTGCTAAATTCAACAAAATTAAATCAATTAATAACATATGTTGAGTAAATTAATGTTTATCACATTTAGTCTCGAGATCATGTAGTATTACAAGCTATGATCAAAATCCTTCTAACGCAAACTAACCTCGGACACATTATTAAGGGAAACATATGTTTTCAATTATATGCACCCTGCTAAAACTTTATTGGCCTCCACAGAAATGGTTCAAGTTTATACGGTGCTTTTTGATGTGTTTTGCCGTTTTATTAGTCATAAAATAAGGTAGAATATGTTATGATGTTTGCCAATAAACAAAATATTGTCATAATTTTTTGTATTTTTGCCTAAAAAATGTAATAACTCATGAGAACAGACTGTATTTTTGGCTAAAATATTTATCAGAGTAAGGACATGAAATCTCGAGTAGGATTTAGCAAGAAGCCGTTTTTAATGAAATTGGGTAATATTCAAAGACCTGATGAATATGGTCTAAACCACACTTCCCTAAGAGTTTTGGGTTCAAGCAAACTTGCCTGAAAATGCTAGTCCGGAAAACTTGTAAGGATTTGGGTATGTATTCTCTAGCAAACTTAGACTACAAAGTCTCAGCTATTGTTGTAAGTTATAGATAAATGTAAACTTGTAGCTTGTAAATTTTCAAGACTTGTGAGTATATATTTCATTTATTCATGTATATTTCATCGTAATTTCAAAGCACCTTCAGGCCTTTTCTCTTTTAATACACTCGTTCGAATTACTTGCTCTCCTGTTCCATCCTGTTTACTACTCTGCACTTCTATGAATTATTAAAAGTATTTAACCGTGCATCAAAGTTCTACTTATTCTCTCTTACATTTTGATCGACTCCATCCCTCAGTATCTCTCTTCTCTATTTTCTCTTCCACTTTATTTCTCATATAAATATTTTCTGGATAAAATTTTCTATTAAATATTTTATTTTCCTACGTAACTTCGCCTTTTCCAGCATGAATTACCTTTTTGCAACAAACAAAGACTTATAAATAAGTCAATCATAAGTACTTGAGTTTTATTTATGGTTGAAGAATTATTAAAAAATAGGGCCAGATTTTTTTTTACAATTTTTTATATTTATATCATCATTTTATTTCAGTAAAAAAAATAGTAAAGATAATTGATGAGTTCTTTTGATTAACTTTTTACTTTTTTCAATTAACGATTTCAAAATCAAAAATCTCCATTAAAACAATCAATATTTATATGACGACATTATATCAGAAATAATTACTGGTGAAAGAACTTTATGACAAAAAAAAATATACCGAAGTTTATCATGAATTCGTGATATTTGAATTTAATGATAGACATGTTAAACAAGTGTAGCTGATAATGATTGATATCGGGCTTGAAGTATTGGAAAGACATCGAATGTATGTTACTCAACTTTGAGTATCATAAGAACTTATATATATTTGACACTAACTGAGCTTCTTTATAAGAATGATTCAAGTTTTTCACTATTCAGTGTTTATTATTTACAATATATTGATCAGTTTAGTTATGATTGAAACAAGAAAATATAAAATTTATTGGAATGTTCCAACATTTATGTGTCATAGGTATGGAATGAAATTTGAAGAGGTTTCAAAGGTATATGACATGGTTCAAAATATCAATGATACGTTTAATGGAAATGAAATATCAATACTTTACCATGCTGGATATTTTCCGGCTTATGAAATACATGATAATAGTAAGTTGAATTAATTTACATGCTACTATGATCGATTATTTTTAATCATCCTAAAATGTTTTTCATTTATTACATTCAGATTCAACACTAATACTTAATAACATAATTCCACAAAAAGGTAATCTCCAAAAGCATTTGAATCAATTACAAATAGACTTGAATGGAAATGTGACAGATCCTAACTTTTCTGGAATTGGTGTTCTTGATTATGAACGTTGGAGACCAGTTTTTCGGCAAAATTTCAACAAGAATAATCGTCTGTATCGAGACTACTCAATAACCTTAGAAAGACATGAATTTAATATTCTAAGTTATAATCAGGCTAGAACACTTGCTGCTCTAGCATTCAATTACAGTGCTCAAATATTTTTTGAAGAAACAATAAAACTTGTTAAAAAAAATAGACCTCATGCAACCTGGGGATTTTATGATTACCCTAAGTGTTTTTATTTAACTCCCAAAGAGTCGACAACTCCATGTGGAGAAGCTCATGAAGAGAATGACAAGTACAACAATCATTCTGCTAAAGAAAAAACATTTTGAATAAAAATATGTTTATTTTCAGGATGAAATGGCTTTGGGACCTGTCTGACATATTGTTACCTTCAATTTATGCAGCGAAAAACTATAAAAAAGGAGAAACATTAGTAGGAGCTATTAACAGAAGATTGACTGAAACTTATAGAATAGCGAATAAATATAATCCACCAAAAAGAGTACTACCCTATTTGCGGTATCGTTACAGAGATGACTGGGGTCTGTTTGTAGTACAAGTAAATTACGTTTTTTATACATGCAGATCAAAGATAAAATTAAAATCATGTTCATCAAATAATAATCTGTCATTGATTAAGCATGAATTATTCATTTATTGGTCATTCATACACATCAAATCAAAAATGAATATAAATATGTTCACGTTGTAGGAGGACTATGTGACTGTGTTCAGAGAACTTGATCGGTACAACATTGATGGACTGGTGATATGGGGTAGTTATGATGATGTCAATACTCATCAAAAATGTATTAATCTTTTCAATCATTTAAAAGATATTCTTGGACCGATAATAAATGCAATAAAATAATAAGTATTATAGAAATACCATCAGCATTGTTGGAACTTTTAAGACTTTTTTTTTCATTTCAAAAATTAAATAGTTAAAATATTTCATAATCAAGGATAAAACCAACAATTTTTGTAAACGATTATTGATAAGACGAATGACTTATTGATTATTAATTTAAATATCAATAGCTGTTCAAACACTTCGTGACTAATAAATGGATGGCAAACAATTCTCTAAAACGAATTTATCGATTGATAGATTACTCAATTCTTTATCTTTTATATTGACTTGTTTAATAGTTACTGAACAAGTAGAATAATGTATAATATTCAGTTACATGTGAATGCACAGTAGTTCAAGTTTTAGTACGTCCAACTGCATGAAAAAGAATTTTTAAGTTGTATATCATGAATTTATACTCAGAGATCATTGTAATTTTTTTGTTAATACAATTTACTACTTTTAAGTGTAGAAAATTAAGCATCGAGTAAGTAATTAAATAAATAAATATTTAAAGCATGTAAAAGATTTAATTAATTAATTATATTAATCTTTTAGACCCAAGATTGGTAAAACTTATTTAAATATTCCATTAAGTCCTTGTTATAAATATGGAGTTTATTTTAATGAATTTTACGAAACAGTAATGCCAATAGCAAATTTTAGCAGACACAATCAAAGTATTGAAGTTGCAACGTTTTATAATTCTGGTTAGAGACAAAATTCTGTTATATGTAATCAACAGATCAATAAATAAACAAGTTACATTTAAAGTTTACTTTTTTTTGTAAATCTAATGCATGTAAATTGACAATAAATTCAATTATTTTCTCATTGACAAATCGTTTCTAGAGTAATTACTGTTAAAAAATATATTTACACGAATAATTAATCGTATTTAATTTTCATATAGGATTACTTGATGATAGAGGGCCAGAGGAAATGGGTCAACTGAGTTATGTGTACTTGCAGTATAATGATATATCTCAAGAAGTGGATGAGCATTTTCGTGGACTTGGAATTCTCAATTACACTACTTGGAATCCAATTTTCAGACAAAATCAGGGGCCTTTAGAATACTATTATAATCACTCAATTTTAATTCAAAAAAACATGTATTCATTATTGAATGATGAACAAACAAAGGAGCTAGCTAAACTGAGATTTGAATTTGCTAGTAAAACTGTTTTTACCGAAACTTTAGTCAAAGTAAAAAATGTATGGCCTCAAGCTACATGGGGTGTCTTTGATTATCCCAAATGTAATTCATTATTTAACGAAGGTAACAACCAATGTGATAAAGACGTTATGGAAGATAATGACAGGTAAAGTAATGTTGCATAATTAAATTGACTATTTCTAATTTCATTTTATTGTTCAGATTATCTTGGCTTTGGGATTTCGAAATAGCTTTATTCCCTTCCTTATCTATTCCAACATACTTCAACAGAGAGACAAAACGAAATTATATAAACGCACGTTTGAATGAAGCTAAAAGAATTGCAGACAAATATATTCCTCCATTAAACATAGTTCCTCATCTGTCATTAAATTATCGGAATGATCCTGACAGATTTTTGAGCTTTGTAAGTATGAATTATTTCTACAAAAAATAGTACAAGTAATTTTGCTACATCATCATATTATCATTTAGGTAGAGCTTTTTATTATAGTTGAAGAGATTGTAAAAACAAATGTATCTGATAATATAATCATTTGGGCAAGTGACCGGAATATAAACAGCAAAGAACGATGTCAAAATTACGCATTTTATTTAAGTAATAATCTAGCACCTATTATAATTACTTTATTAAATTAGTTAAACAACTAAGAATGAAGTTTTTTCATAGTTGAAGATAGTAAAGAAAATATTATTAGAAAAACGTATTAAGTATATGATAAATAAATTAATTAATTTTATTTTATTTGAATATCTACTTTGTATGACATTTTGCCTTGGCTGATTGTTGATCCGCCTTTGTGTCGGCATTTCTACATAAAGAATGTTGAACGGGCTTGTTGGAGAAAGCTAGATCAAAAGAGCTTATATGTTTTACACATTTATTTGCCTTATTTTCTGCACTTTCTATTTAAGAAAAAGGCGGGGTAAAGTGGAACACCATGAAGAAATTAAAATCAACAAATTAAGCATTATATTAACAAGTGTTAATAATGTTTAATGCATTAATAAATTGAAAAATTGATAAACAAATAATGCACTAGGCATTTTTGAACTAAATTTCATAAATTAGAACATTTTTTGGATTGTTTCACTTTGCGCCCGCGTTCCACTACACCTTCCCTACCCCTATATTCTACCAAATATTTTAAAAGTTGTCGATCATAAACTGTGGACGTTGTAGAGAGAAAACTACAACGCCACCAACTTTTTCCAATAACGGTGCAATCTCTTGGGATTCACAGACTTACTGTAAATTAAAAAGTTTTTCTATGAATAGCAATTTTATCTGCAAAATCTAGTTGATTTTCGCTTAAGAGTATTACTCCTTATCAATGCAATTCATTTCTAAATTATTCTATATAATTTTCTCAAAGCCTAAATTCTATTAAAATTGTAATAAATTTCATATATCCAAATAGTTAACATGACAATTGAATATTTTTTCTTTTACTTCTACTGCTCAAAATCAGCTTCTCCTAGTTTACATCAATGCCTCTATATGTATATATATATAGCACGATTGGTCGAACCCAGTGTCAAAACTTTCTGTTCTGATAATACATTTCGAAAGTTCACGGGGTCTACAATAGTAGGTGATAATGATAACACTTAAGAAAGAACAATAATTTATCGACCAAGTGAAGTTAGGACATTAAATTTTTGTAATGAATCAAAGTTGCCATATGCATATATATAAGACAATAATTAGCTCTGAAGGTGAAAATAGTTGATAGAAATTTTGACCGATTTTGTTAGTGAACTACTAAATGACTCGAGTAATGCAAAGAGATGCAAAGTTGTTGACCCATAAAACCACAAATATCGAATAATGCAGAAATAACAATTGACGAAATAATTATCGATGGTAAGACAAAGTATTAATGAGCTACATGAACACTTATGAAGTAATCTCAACGCGGTAACATCATTCTCTTGAGATAATAATGTTTCCATTATGTAATTACTAGCTATAATAATAATAGTGAATGATGCAAAAGCGTAACAAGCAATGTTACAACATTTGAAAATTGAATTCACGTGCATCAGCTATCAACTCTTGGACTGATAGCTATCATTATACAGCTTCAAAGTATATTAGAACATGTTTCCTAGTTAAAATCAATCATAATAATGTGTATTCAAATTTCAATGTGCGCTCATTAGATTCATTCTTTATGACATACATCAAATATGTACCATTTGTAGAGGCAAATCGTAAAATTCATCACTCATCTTTTATGAAATAAATCCCTCTTAAAACTTATTTCACCGCTCAATGTGAATTAAATATTTCTCATTTAATATTTGTTAGTACAGTTAAACATGAAAGAGGATGAAAATATTTTGAAAACTCGTAAAATGATCAAAAATTAATTGATTTGAATTTAATTGAGCAGAATTAATTTCTCATTTCACTAACAACCAGCTGTCATTCCCAATTTAATTTTTCATTTCATAAAGAGAATAACTGCTTCATTTATATTAAATTTATATTTAACGTATAGTTATCGTCTTTCTTTAATGAAGTCAATTTAAAGAAAAAAGAAAAATTATTATTATAGACGATTCAAAGTAGGGAATGAAATGACTTGTTTCAACGTCCTCATTATTTGATAACTTAATACAGAATAAACGAAGAAGAAGGGATCAGAAATCTGTGAGAACTATTGATTCATTTACAATACTTGGATCAATCAATTTAATCTTTCAAAAGTTGGTTAATTCTATTAAATACTGCGAAGATATCTTTAATCAAGTAAAGAGCAAAATCCTTGAAAGCTTTAACGTATTTGATTGATCAAAAGAATTTTGCTATTAAAGACCAACCATGAAATGATAATTACTGTATTTCATTAGTACACCGTCAGCTGTAAACACTTAGTTGACAAGTAGAATGGCATTAAAATGAACGAGAAAATATAGACTCAAGAACATATCAAGTCCTTTTCACTGTTATTTTATTTTAAAGATACGTACTGATTTTTCGTTTTTCAATTATGCAATTATTTCAATAGTAAAAAAATAGAAATGAATAAAATTTAATGAATCTATTAGAAATGAAATGAAAAGAGGTTTCAACGAAATTAAATGATTAATTATTTTAGCAAAAAGTAAGGAAAAAAGTATCTAGCAAAATTCAGGAAAGACATTCAAGACGAGTTGAAGGAATAAAATTTTTGTCACTTAAAGTATAAAAAGAAAAATAAATAAATCGTTTTAACATTTTCCACTCTTCTTTCTGATTACGATTTTCTTTTATATTTATTTTAATCATTAGTTTTTATAATTGTCTCTACTTGATAGTATTTACTGAAGAATTAGTACAATCCCAATTTCTATCACTATCTAAAGGGTAGCATTACGTTTGACTGAATGTGATAAAACTTTTCCTAACAATATAACTTCCCAAGCTTGTCTAACATAAAATTACGGGAAATCTTTTTTTTGTTTTCTGTTTTATTCTCTCTTTCATACAAAAGTAATCTTTTTTTGCAACTCTCTGACCAATCAAATCCCATAGATAAGCTCTATGTCAGTATTAAGTGGTGTATTTCATTTCATTGACCTCAATCCAAGTTAATTTTCCAACATGAGAATTCCCGTTAGCCGCATGTATCTTCATTTTATCCATGTCGTCTAACTTCTGCATGAGATGAAAATGGAGATTTACAGATAAATATGATGATTAAAAGGTAAAAATAGTAAACGATAATATTACGAATGAGTAAAAATTGAGAGAGTAAAGAAATATACTGTCAAAATTTTTATTATTTTGATACATTCCAATTTATTCCATTTCAATGGTAGCATAAAAATTCCCTCTTCTTCAATATTAGCAGAAAAATATAACATAAATCGATCAACTGTAAACATCTACATTGATCGTCAACAAATTTGTGTAAATAATTTAAAATGGCCAAAGTTATAATTTTTTCTTTGATCCATTCAGATTTGATATTTTCTCTAAAATCAAAAGTAAATATGTTTTGATCTGTGATAAGATATTGAGAAAATTGAGAAAAATCAACGTTCAAAAAAGAAGCATTATTTTTTTCGAGAATTTACAACTCATGATCGAAAATGATACAAATTTGAAATAAAAATGAAGAAAAAAAAGAATGTAATAAATAAAGATCACAAAGTGAAAGCAATTTAAGATATGTTCTCATTTCCATTTATATTCTGAAAGAATCTGTACCACGAAGCTTTGCCTGATAGTTCTGACTTTATCTAACTTTTATCACTGGACTCACTTAAGGTCTTATAATAGAACAATATTACACAGCACAGAATATGTGTGATAAATATTGCTATGAGTTTATCGTAGACATTGCAATCTAATTTCATTAAATAAGTTTATAAAATTTATTTATCATCGTATTCTATCTTAATGAAACATTTACAATTTTATATGAATATAATTCAAAACTTTGTTATTTTCTAATTTATGCTATAAAGCAAATTAATTTATCGTAATGGATAAAATTGGTATTAATAGTCAATATTTAATTTTCAGCTTACTGTTTTCGATGCATAAAATAATCTCTTCAAACAAAAAAAATCAATATAAAGTAAATTGCACTTAATTTGTGAGAATATTAGATGAAGAAGTTTCAGTTTATTGTTTGGGTATCACTCTAAAACTCATTGAATTTATAAATCTATAGAACGTTATTTTCGTTTGAACGACAATAGGAAGTTTGTTTTAAACTCAAGGAGTTGATTCTAAAGAACGAAATCTTTATACTCTTGACTAACTCAAAGAATGTAAGAACAAGAATCAGAAAGTAAAAAAAAAAGAAAACAACAAAGTGTAGACGTTTACAAAAAATGTAAAAAGTTTTATAAATGATTACCTTGCTTTACTGATCACAGAAGATAGATGCTTTCATCACAAAAAAACTTTCGATTATTTCAAAAATTGTATTTTATAAATAAAATCAAAGAATTGTAAGATGAAATAATGAAACTACTCATCTAAGCAGCATCTAATCAATCTTTTAACTTCCAAAGACTACCATTTGATACAAACTATTGAACCAAAACTGCAATTTAAAGTTTGAAGAGATTCATTCACTTCTGAAAAGATCGTATTTAGTTTTCAACAGTTTAATACCAGAAGATAGTAAAATAAATGAGACTTAAGATTCGAACATTTTCTTTCTTCTATGAAAAAACCTCGTTACATGAAATGCCATTTCAGTGAAGATCACTTCGCCTTTTAAATTATAGTAAAGCTCTTTAACTTACAAAAAATGTAATAAAAGACACGAGGTTAGTATGTATTATAAAGTCATTGAGAAATCGACAAAAAATTTTTTTTCAACACTTTTTTTTATACCAATTACTCAAGTCGTGTATTCAGTACTCCAAAGACAATTCATTGTGCAATCATAATTGTATTGATTGTAAATAATAAAAAAAAATTTTATCGTGAGTTTTTTCAATACTTGAAAATGTGACAAATGAAAGGAAGAAGTTAACATATTGAACAATAGATGACATTGAAACAATATGTACCAGTCGCGTTTACGTCCCAACATCACTACTAATCTGCATTTGAACCTGCGGCTTGCACTGGAAAATGTCACGCGAGCAAACGTGTTTCAACCACATTATCCTATTGTCTAGTATGTTGCAGCTTCTATCATTCCCATTAGGCTATA